TGAGAAAATAACTGCATTTGTTTTTAATTCGGAACCAATCAAAATGTTTCCCTCCAAATTTCGAGAAGTGAATCTGAAGCCTATCTGGATGAATAAATAGATGTCCAGGAATTGAATTCGAGGAGTCGACTAATAGCTGCTGCACGAATCCAGGTCCAGGAAGAAAAATAATATAGACGAAATTTGACGACCACTAGACGAGAATAGAACATCAAAGTCGCTCCCACATCAAAGAAAATTCTTCGCTTTGTGTGATTGTTCTGTTATTCGCTGTTACCACAGACTTTGCTTCGAATTGTACCTATTTTTTGAAAACTATCTTCATTTATTTTTATGTTGTTTGCCTTTCTGCGGACCTTATGCAATAATTTAATGTAAATGAGGCATAATTCATTTGTATTGATTATTTTTACATTGGTCATTACATTTTTATTGGTCATTATATGGCACATAAAGCACGTAATTTGTGTAATTCTTTCATTTTTGTGCGTTAACAATAAAATTATCATCTGTTTTTAAATTCGGCTCGTGTCCTCTTTCTTTTTTTGTTTACACTTATAAATTAAATGTTACCTCAAACATTTGTTTGAACTATTTTTTCGTAGTTTTTTTTACCAAATAAAAAAAATACTACAACATTGTGAGCAAACTGGCAAAACAAAATAAGGAATAACAGACGGCACTATTTCTCCACACTACCAGATCAGATGCTTTCAGTTCGCTTCAACGGAAAGCAACGATGACTTGGACACGGTCATAGCCAATTTTAACCAACACTTTATCAAACATATGAACGATATATCTTCAATAAAAGAGACCAGAAACAAGGTGAGAACATTGATACGTAACTGCTCTTCGTAACCTCTTCGTAAGTCTTGTAATTTTTGTGAATAGTGTTGAATGTAAGAGACAAACAGGCGCAGAAAAGAATGTTACAGCATTCGATACTAACTCTTCGACAATGCATTGTCATATGCCAAAGTTGTGAAGGTACGACTGCATAGTTGGGAGCTATCGGAGAACTGAACGATACAGAAGTAATGAATAAAGTGTAAAAACAAAGTTACAAACAGAAATTCTGTAAATAGAGCCAAATAGACTGTAAATTCTTGTAACTCAAGATGGCCTCATATTTAAAGGTCACGGTGTCTCAGGTTGCGGAGTGTGAAATTAAACGTGCACTTCATTCGCAAATAGGTATTTCTACGGCGGGCCAGAGAATGTATTTTCTGGCCAGACATGACATTAGACATGCATGAGTACATTTCTACATGTGAAACTTGTAGCAAGCTCACAACAGAACATCCTAAAGATACACTAATGTCACACTCTATACCGGATCGTCCGTGGCATAAGGTTGACGTTGACTTATTTGAGTTTGAAAGCGTCGAGTACCTCATAACTGTAAATTACCTTTCGAATTTCTGAGAAATAGATCGACTTGAGGACATTACTAGCTCAACCGCCATCATCAAACTGAAGGTATATCTTGCAAGATACGGGATTCTATGCCAGTTGATTTCCGACACAGGACCATAGTTTACGTTCTCATCATTTAAGAATGTCAGAATGTCAGAAAATGGGATTTCGAAATTTTATGGTAAGGCCCGGAAATCAAATGACAAAGCAGAATCCACAGTTAAAATGCAAAACGGCACACGAGAATAAACAAGGACACCTACACTATATTCTGGCACTGCTTGACTTCAGAAATATTCCAACCCAAGGAATGGGAAGCAAGCCTTCTTAGTGCCTACGAAATCGCCGCACCCGTACACTACTACCCACAAGAAGCAATTTACTAAAACTAGAACGGCGAGACTTGAGCCAAGTGATAAGACTCTACTGGAAAACAAGCAGAAGGTTCAGACTAAATATTACTATAGTCACGCACGTGATTTAACTGTGCTGGGTGAAGGTGATGTTGTACAAGAAAGGTGATCGAGTGTGGGAGAAAGGCGTCATAAATCATCAATTGGATGAGTGTTCATACGACGTCCATACCCCAAGTGGTACCTATCGACGCGGATAAGCAATACTTAATTTTTGCATAAAAAATAGTGAAAATAACGTTTATTTGCTTTACCAAGATCCAGTTAACTAAGCTTTAAATTTACTAATACAGGTGTCCACAGGGCTCTATCTTTGGTTTTACTTTGTTTTTAATTTCGGTAAGTTCAAATTGGCAGCTGAAGTTCAGTCTCTTGTTAACTGGGGTAAAGAATGGATTGTTTTTTTAACATCTCCAAAACGAAACTGGTCTCTTTTAATCATCTGAGAGAACCCTTTCTACCTTCCATCGGCATGGCTGATGCTAACCCCCCAGAAGAGTGATGTGTTGTGTCTTCTCGGGCTAACATGAAGTGGAAAGAATATATGGAAGAAAGTTGGTTCACTGTTTCGTGCTAGACAATTTTTGTCTCCAGAATCTATCTTATATATATGTAAGTCTACCATTCGTCCATGCTTAGAATATTGCCGCCACATATGTTCCGGTGCTCCTGCTCTATATTTTGAGATTCTTGATAAAATCCAGAGAACAATCAGCAATGTTATTGGTCCTGAAATAGTGTCTCGACTTCAGTCACTTTTCCGCAGCCGTAAATGTGCTTCTCTGTGCCTTTTCTATAAATAATTTCATGATAATTGTCCGGATGAGCTCTTTGCTACGCCCATAAGCAAGGTTCTAGGTCATAGGTCACTAGACTTTATGAATTTAAGCGCAGTACGAGACTGGAAACTAGTTGGTTAGATCTAACCGTAAGTTCTATGCCAAAATTTTCTTTTCTCGCTAGTTGAACTTTCTTCCGGCTCCATACTTTCCAGGCAAATTTAATCTTCAGAAAATTAAATGCAATATCAATCGTTATCTACTGCCTTCCTGATTACTCTTCTATTGTTCTTGTTCGTTAGTAATGTTTCTGTTTTCTAAGTCTTTCATATTCAGTAACCCCTTGCTTAGGATGAAATTGCTTAAAAAATCTAGTTAAACTATTTAAACGACACACTGGAGTTTAATTCACTACTTTTTAAAAAGATTACTTTCTTATCCGTTTGATGTAATAAAATATTGCATCCAATGAGATCTTTTTCAGTTAAATTGATTTAAAAATTTATTACGCTAATGAAAGTGCTATAAAAAAAGGGTGAGGATTGATAAAGATTTATTGAACTGATACTTGAATTGAATGCTCTCTTAAAATTATTTCCTTTTGCACAAACATTTATTTAACAGATATAAAAAGGAAAAAAGATGATAACAGGTTTACTGTCGAAAATGGCATTAAACTTTGCATTCTTTTATTCTTCAAATTTACCTTTATTTAATATATATATATTCTCCACTGCCTTAACCTTATATAACTCAAATAGCACCTTCAGGGATTTTTCCTTATATAGCTGTAAAAAAACTTCTCAAGCAGCAAAAGCACGCGCGATATATCAAAATGGCGGTGACGCTAACCTCCAAATATTTATACAAAGTTTTCTAATAGAATAACCTATTTACTTATTCATCAATAAGTGCTGAAGTTTTTATCTAAATCAGATAATTCCCAGATTTTTAGTATTTTTTAAACAGTAGGTAACATTTTTTCTTGCTTTCATATCGAAAAAATGCATGCATTTGCGCAGTACCTAGAATAAAGAAGGATGTTTAAAACATTGAATAATTATATTAATTTCTTTTTAAATAAATCTATTAAAAATAATTTTTCAGCTTTTAACGGATATTTTTATATACCCAAAAGTCTGCAATATATTTTAATAATAATAATAATAATAATAATAATAATAATAATAATAATAATAATAATAATAATAATCGCCTTGTTCACAAGTGCATTTCATGAATGAATCCTGAACGACGTTGCGGTACCTTAGGATAAGAACATTATAAAGGTGAAACAGGCAAAATACGGAGGTACCAAGAACTGGCAGGGCAAATCAGAATCATATATCAAGTAACAACTCCACTTACCCCTTTTATGGTTGGGGCACTCAGAGTATTTTCTGGAGTCTTTCTGCCATGAAGAACTCCTTAGGGATAGCTGACATTATTGGGATTGCGGAGGTGGCAACATTACTTGGCACAGATCATGTGCTGATAAAAGTGCTGTCCCTCTAAAAGTTCATTAACTATCTTTTTAGAATCTAGCCATACTTAATGAAGATATAATTAAAACATTTTTAATATAATTCAACAATGTACCAGTATACTCAAATTGATCTGCAAAATTATAAGCCAGAAATTAGAATCTTAGACTCTATAGAAGAGAAGCGATAATATTCGTCATTGTTCTCAATTACAGCAAGATATCAGTCTCTTTTCTCTAGTTACTTAGATATTATATCTAACTGAAAAAAAAAGAAGATTTCTGCTTCAGGAAGCTGTCATTGCAATGTTTGCTATTAATGTTCGATCGTTTTAAAGATTTCTCGTACTATTTTTTGGGAGGACTCATCTTTGGGAAATAACTATGTATATATCCAAATTATTCCTATCCACAATAATTCTCTCCGGTTAAAGTTTTAATTGTAACAAGCAAGAAATAAGAGTGGCAGTGTCAACAATGCCAACGGCGGAAGTAAGTACGTGCGTGAATATTCTTTCAAGAGTCAATGAGAGGATTTGAATTTTTTTCACTCATTTACGCCAAAACAACTGATACATCCGCTTCATTTCGTTCCCTGGCCGAGCGCTGTGCAGTACACATTGCGCGAATGCAGCTTCTCCAGGTTGGCCTGTTGAAAGTGGTTTCTGCGCATTTTCACCAGAGATCTACCAACTATTTTCTCTTCTTCCATAAGCTGCGATACTGGTGAATACACAAGCAGGAAAATATTACACACTGATACGCCATAAATCGTATCCATACCTATGTGAATAATAATAATAATAATAATAATAGTATCCATCTGAAGAATTCCTAATATAAAAAGGACATTACAAAGAAGAGAATTGGAAATCAAAGATGCCTAATTTAAAACGTATAGTATTTATGCTTTTTTTGATGCTAGCAACGTGTGGTAAGTCAAATCTTATTTAATATTTTATTGTACGAGGGTGAAATTAATCCAGAAAAATATTCCGCAGTTAATCAATAATTGAAAATCAGATATTTAGATTTATTTTCATTTTTTATATTATAAAATTAACAAATCAATGCTCTAATTTGTTTCATATACATTTTTATCTATTAATTTATTCTCACCGGTGAATAATCCGATATCAAGTTTCTTTTCTTGGACCGTCAATAAAATTGATTTCTTGAGTTAAATTAAAAAGAAAGAATATTATTTGTATTGTTACTTTTTGACTGTTTAGAATTTTTAAGCCTGAAGAATGTTCTGTCGTCTCGTTTGAAATCAATCTAATCTGCACACATTTATTTTGCTTTGTGATATTTCAGGAAAGAATCATTGAGTCAGTTTGGCAGAAGAAATTTTACAAAACGAAACAACACGTTTATAATGCTTTCTGTTCTATACTGGATTAAGCGATTGTAACTAAAAGCTACAAAAAATGAAGGCAAAACTCCCAGTTAGAGAATGTCGAGGTTACAAAAACAAATTATAAGAAAAATATGTATACTGCGGCAAATAACCTTCTAATCTAATGGTCAGTCTAGTTTTTGTGGACTCCAAGGTACAATATATCCGCTTTAATTATTGCTGAAGAAAAGCTTTATTTTTATCCTTTTTTCGAAAATGTCAATTTTTGTATTCGTTTAAAACCCCGATAATTTAGTAATAATTCTTCGAGCCAAATATGAAGTTAAAAAAAGTTTTTTTTCCTGAAGAATGTTATAACATTGTCGCTATTATGTTAGTGGAAGACATGGAAAACATATTGTAAATGAACTCGGTCTTTGCAAGAAAAATAATTTTATTTCTGTATTTAATACTTCATTCTAATTATATGATTTAGTCTTTTGTGATATTTAACCATAAACTTTCATCCTAGACAAAAAGTCCGTAGATATAAAACTTAAAAATTTAAAATAATGTGTTTCTTCTTAAAAATGACAGTTTAAGGATATGTAAATACAGCCGCTTTGAATCACATTTTTTTTATACGTGAACCGGTGAGATCTTTTCAAGTTTCTGAGTATATAAGGCCAGTTTCTTATGATATATGAAAAAGCTAAGCCTAAAGCCTAAAGCAGCTGCTAGTAAAAACAACCTTTCTCTCCCCACGATCATATTTCAGTCGACTTAATATTGCAAAATTTCTTGAATTTTTGTTAGATTATTGAAAAATCTATAAAAGTCCATATACTCAATAATGTCATTGATTTGCTCGAAATATTCAAATACAGACAAAAATTAGTTTTCCTTCGGTTGTTTAAATTTAATCAAAACTGTAATGATAAAAAAAATCCATATTAAAATGTAAATAAGTTAAAATTTTTAACTTAGTTAAACAGATAGAAACGGATTTAGGAAGATTATGTTACCCAATTTTACCAATTGGGAGAGAAGGTTTTGAAAATCAGTATCTTTCTTTTTAATTGGGTTCAAAAACTGATCTCCGGCACCTGTGTAAAATATAGAACTCTTTTAGCAACAATAAGTAATTCGTTCACCCACAAATATATATATATAATCTTTCTTTTTTTAAAAGCAGAATGAAGAAGTTTTGCGGTAGGAGCCACTGTTAAGTGAATGTTTTGTAAGTTGATCAGTTCGATTTTAATTAGGGATACTTTCTCTAGTTTTAGGATTACAGTGCAAATAAATACAACAAAATATCTACATATTCAGATTTTTATTTCTATCAATAACAATAATTGCTCACGAATACACTCCTAGCTTACTCTTTAAATACCTTAATTCCTTAATTATCAAAGTGTTTCGTTATATCTATACGTCTTTTATGTATGCATGTGTCTATACTGAAAGTATGTGTATCAACACATATAATCATAGTGTATGGAAAACTGCAAATTCTTTGCATTTCTACGTATTTAACGAAATGCAGCTGTTAATATTTACTAAATGTTACTTAGTCTGACAAAAAAACCCCTAAAAATTGGAGCATTCAGAGAAAAAAAATCGAGCTGAATATACGAGTTTGCGAAATTTAACGTCTCACAAGTGTGTGGGTGACAGTAGAGACTGCAACTGCTGCTCAAGTTGACAATTCCGAATTCACTTGAAATATTTCAATAATTGTTACTTGTTTTTGACTGTGTACAGCAACTTAACCGATCTTTTCGCCCTTCCTTTCTTTTCGACAAAATTTCAATAACCAAAATATTCTTTTCATTGTTCCTTATAAAATTTACACTGTATTCTGTACGCACGTAATGTGTAGCAATTCAGACAAATGAGAATTTAACATTAAAATTCCTTTCATTTCCTATCATTTCTGGCTATTAATCATTAATTCTGACAAAAACATCTGTCATTATATCTATTGCTTCGCCATCTTTACGAAATATTAGTTCAGGTGCCGTTCTACTGAAATATATTTCGATTTTTCTACCAAATAAGCTTCGAAAATACTTTAAATATTTTCTCATTCATCGTTAAAAGTCTATTGATGTGATGATTCTGAAATTCCAAACATTGAAAGTAGGTATCGCCACAGAAACGCGATACTTTCATTTACTAAATGTTACTTAGTCTGACAAAAAAAAAAAAAAAAAAAACTAAAAATTGTGGCATTCAGAGAAAATCGAGCTGAATATACGAGTTGGTTTAAAATGATTTTTTTAAAATGAAAATTGGTTTAAAATGATTTTTTTAAAATGAAAATTGGTTTAAAATGATTTTTTTAAAATGAAAATTGGTTTAAAATGATTTTGTTTAAATGAAATTTTTTTTTGAAGTTTTTATTTTAATTTCAATTTTAAGCTAATAGATTAAATTTGATATTTATTTAAATTTTAATATCAATAAGCAAATTCCTTTTTTGTATTTCAAAACAAATTTAAATTGACTGGAACGAATTTTCGTTTTGAAATTGCTGATTTTAGCGCCATTTTTAGCCATCCGTCATCACGATGTAATTCTATTATTAAAAAAATAATAATATATACAATTCTGAAACATTATTTGAGCAGTATTAGCTAATTTAAAATTTAATTAATCTGATTTGAAACAAATATTACTCAAAGAATTTTGCGCAAAACCATTTGTTCCACTTTTCTAATGTCTTCTTTTTCCTTGTGAATTGTATGTGTCTTAGGAACTATGTATTAATGAGCATACTATCAAATTGCACAGCCAGTAACATGGATCATATCGACACTTTTCGAAAAAGCATAGATTCGAATTTTCCTATGATTTCTCCAATCTTTCCATTGATACAATTTCCCCACCTCCATTTTTTATGGTGTATTATGGGAATAAAGGTTAAAAGTGATTTTGAACAAAAATTCTTTATTGCATATTGCAATGTGTTTTCCAGCTTTGGAGATATTCATGCGGTTTTTGGCGGTAAAATAAAGTTTCATTGTAATGTAATAAGAATAAAATCTCTTTGCTATATTTGTTGACATCTAAAGACAAAAATAATTCTCAGAAGAAAGCTTTAGTGCGGTCAATTTGTCAATTGAACCGCCATTTTAATTGAAGAATGATGACAGGAACTTTAAGACACTTTTAAAATCTCAAAAATCAAATACCGGTCCTAGTGATTTTGTTTAAAGAAAATTAGTAAAATTAATGATTAATTTACAGAAATTTTGAAAAAAAAACCAACTTAAAAACACTTAAAATATTGCGAAAAACATTCGAAACTATCAAGGAATATTCCGCTTAACAAGTTCATAGGTCAAACAGTAGTGGTTACCCCCGTTATATTCACTTAAAAATGCCTCAAATTTAATTAAAGAAAGACGAAAATTACCAAAAACCTAAACTAGTTTCGTTTAACAATAACCATTTTAATTTCATATAGCAAATATGTTAGTAATATATGTTAGTAATATATGTTTTGTTCTATAGGCCTTTTATGAAACTTAATATAATCAATATTTTTATAATAATAGGAATATTAAAAAATATTTTAACAAATCATAAAATGAAGTGAAATCCATTGTATTTTTTCTGTTTTTAACTACTTGACATCGAGGTGTGGGGTGGAGGTCTTAATAATTGGGGTCAAAATTTTTCTCACTATATAATAAATGAGTGCAACTTAAAGTTGAACCAACTATAATAATTACAGTTTTATGTTTGAGCTCTGAGGAGAAGTGCAAAAATTAATACATAATAAGCTTAGGGGTGCAGTCGGAAAATTTCCTAAAAAACACCAAATAAATATCTCTATTAGGCATCTATGTATTTTCATATGCGGGTGATATGATGGCTATCCGCTCGAAATAAGAATTCGGAGAGCAGAGTTTGAATTCCAATCGTGTTCGTTACATTCATTTACGAGCAAAAATATCATTGGGAAAGGTGTGAATCTATCTCTTCTTCCCACAGTTATGGATTAAATAGCAGGACAAACCAGGCGCTCTAACCATAGTTGACAACCAGTACAACTCTTAATTCAAAACCGTAACCATAGATGTGACTTGGCAACAATGATCATACTCATTCACGCACGAGTCAACAGTCATTATGTATGTCAAATGATATGTATTTCAGTGATAAGGGATCTTAAATGAACTAACTCATTTTCACTTTCCATCCGTAAATCATATTTTAAACACGAAAACAAAAAAAAAGAATAAATAAATAAAACAAAATAAAAGTTTGTTACAAATTATCCAAGGTTCTGGCTACTAATTTTACCATACTAAAAACCGAAGCCAAATTTAGACTCATTTCTGAGCAGGCCGATTGCGGTCACCCAATGTCGAAATCTCATAGTAATTTTCCGGCTGCACTATATTTAGCATAACATTTCGCGTCTGACTGCCGGTCAAGATTCATTGAAAGCTATCATAATTAGTGTCTCTCTCTCCACTAGTTTAAGAATTTGTGTACCATTACTGATTCTACTTGATAAAAATGTCGCCAATTTGTAGGCAAAGAAGAAACAAACACAATCGTTAAAACACGTAAATATTTTAAGAATTGAAAATATTAAGACGTAACTTGAATATTATACCGTACATGAATTTAACAAGCCCAGAAATATTCATTATTCTCTCAAATATTTATGAATGTTTTATTTCATTATTTTTTTTATATTTTTCTCTGCTTTTGAATTTCATTTTTGCTTTGGTCTCTTTATCACTCTTTAGACTCGACATCCGATTTTATATTTCGTTCATAAAAACCTCCATTCACTTCTTTTATCCGGTGTATTTTAATACAAATATTATACATGAATTGAAACTTGATAAAACTTTATTATATTGTTAGATAGAGTAGGATCATCATCATCATCATCATCATTAAGTTCTCGGACCAATAGTAATGGATAGGTGACAGAAATTATACAGCGCTACATATTCCCATTATCCTTGCTGATTTCAATAATCCTGTTGTCTAGTTTTGATTCCTTCTCAGATTTCCAATTTTTTTCAATTTCTTTGCAAGGCACTTCAGAACTCTTCCAAGTTCAACATGATGGATGATTTCTCGGATTTCCACAATTTTCGTTTCCGTTTTATCACAAGATCAAAACATTTTCTTCGTCTTTCGCTTTCTTTTAATTTACTACTAGACATGATGAAACAATAATATTGATTATCTAATAAATTGTCTTGTCTTTCTGCCTTTCTAGGTTGGATCGATTTGGATTTTAAAGTTTCAGAGATTTCTATGTTTTATTTTCTAAGAGAGATTCTAGTTTGTGTATCTACTATTGGTGAGCATGACTAAATTGTAGTTGTTTGCATAGTCCATACTCCCAATTCATCTTTGTCTATTTTTAAACTTTTGCTGAGCCAAGTTTGAAATGGCATCGTAATAGAACCAAGTTTCTCTGTGTTAAACACTTATATTATTTAATAATAATAAGTAAGAGTAAATTTGCTTACTGACCGTGGAACACGATAAACTATTCAGACTAAAAAAATATCGCTTCAATATGGTAGATTTAACAGACCCAGACTAAGGAACGATTATGTCAGCGTCTGCAATAAAGCATTCTCCTATCATGCTTTCATGTCAGGAATGAAAAGAAAACCCACAGTTGCAACATGTAGTTTATTTTAGTAGAAGGTTTGTGGTAGACATTAGTTATCAAAGATTTTCTTAAACAAAATATTGATTCATATTACTTAATTTCATGCTGAAAATATGTCTCCTTTTTGTCTATTTTCTCATCCCGATTTTTAAAAAATTTTTCGTAAGTTTGTTGCTATTCTCTTTTATTCTCTTCGTTTTATGAGACTACCTTGATATTGTGCGCCTGATTTAAACAACAAACACAAACGTTACCAAATGACTTTTGAATATTAACTCTAAAAAAAATCAATGTGTTCCAGTTAATAATCTTTAATCTTCATAAGTTCGGAGTGTATATAACTGCACTAATTCTACATAAACACTTCCATTAGACAAGCTGATCTTTATAAATAAATAAATAGCCACCATGATATGTATAATGAATTATTCAGAAGATACTTAAAGATCTGAAAAACTATAATTCCTCAATAATAATTATTAAATAATTAAATACTAGTAATATACTTGCATTCAGCAGTCAGGACATTAGACCTGCATGTGGTTTTACTTTTAAATTCTGTGTTACATTATATGAATTTATTTCTACATTATTTATTTCCAGTTTCGTCGTGTCCGCGCATCGTGAAAATTAAGAATCTTCGACGAAAGTACCACAAAGATAGAAGACTCGTCACCTTCACGTGCAAGTTGGGTTTTGAACTAGTTGGTGCCAAAACAGCCGTCTGTAATCAAAATAAATGGTCAACAGAGCCTCCAATATGCATTGGTAAGTGAATGAATCAAATAAAAACAAAATTTCCTGCGCCGGTATATTGGGTGTAAAAAATTCATGAAACACTAAGTACAAATTTATATAAGTAAAATATTTTATTCTATTACTAATAATTATATATATATATATATATATATATATATATATATATATAGGTAAAAATGGCAGCGGTAAAAATGGCAACGGTAAAAATGGCAAAAATGGATAAATAAGAAAAAATGGAAAAAGGAAAAAAATATAGATGAATATCTCACAATGAGTTTATTAAAATCTTGGATACAATACATAATGGAAAAACATGAGAAGTTTGTCAAATTAAAAAGAATATTCAGCTAAAGCTCCCCGCTCGCTTGAGATTTTACTTTTTAGGCGATTACGTCTGAACACACTGAAAAACTTGGGGAAAAAACAATTATAGGTCCACTTGATGACGGCTTCTGGTATTGAAATCAGAAACCGACATTAAGCGGTGTTTATCGGAAAACAGTTTCTCGTCAATTTTGTACACTTAGAGTTGTTGTTTTTTTAATTTCACTAGTTTGAACACGTGGGAATCAGTAATGCAGTCGAATAAAAAAACATTGGATACATTATTACTATGACGTTTAATAGAATTAAATTTTGTTACATTTCTATTTATAAAAAAACTATTAGACTATTTAAAAAATAGAATAAAGTATTTAAAAATGTTTTTAATATAAACTATTTAAAAAGTATTTTCACACAAAAAGAAAACATTCCAATTATAAAAAATAATAAATAAATTATTTAAAAAATATTTTCAAAGAAAACATTCCTATTATAAAAAAAAGTTTTATTTGATTATTTGTAAGAAAAACATTCTAATTAAAAAAAAAGTTTTATTTGAATGGGGATTCCTAACCTTCCCTTTGCGATTTTTTCCGATTCCCCGATTCCGATTAATCGTCCCAACACTAATATATATATATATATATATATATATATATATATATATATATATATATATATATATATATATATATACAATTTATTTTATATATATATATATATATATATATATATATATAAAACATTAGGCAGCATTTGATTTACATATATATATATACTAATACACTTATTATATATATATATATATATATATATATATATATATATATAAAACATTAGGCAGCATATGATTTACATATAAAGAAATAATCACACATAGAATTAATCAGAAGTATTAATGCGATTATTGGCGACATCCATCGCTAGAAAACATAATATATGCATTAAAATCCTGTTCATCCATAGTGCGAGTTTTGATCCTTGTCGAAAAACTTGTTGTCTGTAGTTTTTCAGTTTATTTGATGTTAAAATGCTAGTACTTACGAATAGTCTTCTATTCATCATCAGGCATGTGTTTTTTTCGACAAGGATCAAAACCTAGCGCCCCCCCCCCAATAAAACTTCTAAAAATCAACATCGAAAATTAAAAAAAAATGTTTTTAATACTAAGAGCGGGAACTTAGCCCCTATTTAAAACAAGAGGAGAAGGAACCTAGCTCCACCCCCTCCCCCACTAGAGTAAATATCTATTTAAAAATATTTATTTTAAAATATCGAGGTGGGGGGGGACTTAGCCCTATTTTAAACTAGAAGGATGTGAGCTTATACCCATCCTTCTCGAACGGACATAATTTTTTGTTGTCGAATTGCCACTTTTGCCATTTTTTCCTATTTATCCACTTTTGCCATTTTTACCGTTGCCATTTTCCCGCTGCCATTTTTACCGCTGCCATTTTTACCGAGCACCATATATATATATATATATATATATATATATATATGTGTGTGTGTATGTGTGTGTGTGTGTGTGCGTTGTATTTAGTATTAGACTTTTAATTAAAATAGTAAAAAGGAAATAAGAAAATAATTTTCCATGCCTTTAATATAAACATTATTTCGCTTATAGGTCGGAAATGGCAACTCTCATGTTTCAAATCGTGTGTCTTCCTCTAGAGGGCCCTCTATCCCTAAACTGCTTATATCACTCTCTTTTTCCTTTTCCGATATATACTAAGATACAAACATCTTTGCGCAGAAGAGAACTTCACCTTTCAACTATCATGCGTTTGTCCTGGACTGCACAAACGCTACACTGGCGTTATTAAAGGAGACGCTTTGAAGCACTCACTGGTCAAAGTAAAAATGGAACACTGTCCTTTTATTTCTGACCACGTAGAATCTTTTCATTCCTTTAGAATGTATTCTAATAGCATACATCTAAAAAGAAAAGGACTTAAAAACCACTCCAATAAAAATGTCTAAGTAGATAAACTTTTTTTTATCACCAGACTAATAAATGATTTCATTTTTTCTACATGTCGCCATTTTTAGCTGACATTTAAAATAACTTCCACGAATTTTTGAATTCTTTCATTATTCACAATTCTTGAATAAAGTCTACAATGCTGAGGCGATAAAATTGTTTGTACTTCTTGTTCATAAATATTATTTGTAATACAGACACACCTCATGAACATACACAAACATCCCCTACAAATTGGTAACCCTGACGTTGGAAAATACAATTCTCAAAAATTAAAACCGTTCTGTCTTTAACAATGTCCCCATGTTTAATTCGATCAGGTGAGGTGTGTCTTAGAAGCTCATTACACTGGACGCTTAAAGCACTAAACTGAAATTAAAAATGCTTCACTACTGAACAACACTCGAGCAGCAAAGAGAATAAGTCAAAACAATCTCCAGCTAATCATAGGCCAGCGCAAACACCATTAATAGTGTCATTACGTCTAAGGATGTATCAACTTGACACTTCCGATGAGAACTCCTCTGATCTACAACATCCGCAGATACAATTTTCATCTAACACTCTCACGAAGATAATTCAAGTTTTCATAATGAGTATTATCTTTTTACATAATCAACTTCCCGTGTGGAGCTCCGTTTCTGGGTGAGGATGTATTGTGGTAGTTATGTATGGCATATTTTTGATTAAAATAGTAAAAAGTAAATAAAATATTTTTCAGGCGTCAATAGAAAAATTACTTCACACATAGTATAACTACTGCATAGGTCTAAAATATCCCTTATCAAAATGGCAGCGTTGATGTTTCAAATCATTTCTAGCGGCCATACAATCCCTAAACTGGTGACATAGTTTTCTTTCTCCTTTTCTGATACATTCACCTACCTTATGTATGTAAATGGCTGCACGCAAGCAACATTTAAGTTAAAATATCAGGGGAGACTTTCTGAAACAACCGTTGGTTGAAATCAAAATGGAGCTCTCTATCTGTTTATTTTCGACTATTTACTTCCACAATATGATTAAATAAGCTGTGACAACACAAGCAATAATAAACTTATCAAAATAATTTTTAAAAAAAGAAAGAAAAAAAAACATAAGTATATTGATAGTTTTTACAATGAACAAAACCTCGGCTCTGTTTCCTCTAATTTATTGTATTTGTATTTTTGTAAAGAATGTTCGCGATTTTCGAAATTACTAATTGGATAAACAAGATACTATTAATAAAAAGTAGTAAGAGGATAACTTGATTTTTGGAGGAATTGTCTCTTGTAGTGTATCAGTGACAAAATACAAATTAAACTGACCCTCTGCTATTTTTACTAAATCAAATGCAACAAAGACAACAATAAGTACATGCGATATAATAAAGTTGTTTAAAACTTTAGAGTTCTTGGTTGTGTGATCAAGGGTAATATAAAATGTGTTATGGTATAGATTTGGTAAGGAATTAAACAGTTTATGTTGATGGTGAAATTGAATGAAATAGATTGTAGAGTTATCTTGCTTCGACTGATATAGTTACGATTTCCTTTATATTGTTAAGATATTGAGTGAGTTAATTTCTGAATCTCGTCTTGGTTAAATTGGTCACTAGATGAGTTGAAAAGAAATTGAATTCCACAAGACGGGTTGATGTTAATAAAAATTAACTTTTAGCGAGGACGTTGGGTTTCATGAATTCGAGTGACGAGTTGATTATTTTAAGGACTCACTAAATCGTGTCGCAGTTTCATCTTTATGAATTTTCTTGATCACGTGGGAGGCTCGAAAGAATACCAATTTTTTGCGCGTTGAACTCCGAACAGGTTAACTCGAGGTTAACCGTACATACGTAGGCAGAAACATGACATTATTATTTATGGACCAGTCAGAAATCATTGTTTCGTACTGGACTCTGGAGCCGATTTTAATGGGTTCAGCACAAACTGAGAATACTTAGCTGTGATCCTCTTTTAACAGGTTTAAAACAGAGATCTAATTCTACACTTTAAAGAAAAGTGTTTCAAATCAATTGTTAATATATTGTTTTCGAAAGAGTGTTCATTTTATGTTTACAATTTTCCTTATATCATTTATTTTGACTCTGGATATGAGTCGAATTAAGAAAAAAGAAAAAAAATACCAATTTAAGAGAAACCACAAATTGTGCTTAACAAAATAACTAAAAAGGGACGTGAAGAAAATATTTTTGAACATTATTCTCTATGTATTTGACCTTAAATAACTGTTCAGTGTTAATTTATTTAGTTTACCTTTATTTTCTTCCTTGTTTTCATTTATTTTTTTATTTTGTTTATAAATTTACATTTTAGAAAAAACTTTTATTATTTTGTTAGTTGTGTTTGCTTAGCGGAATATCACCTCTGTGGGTTATCTAATACCGAAATCTAAATATGACAATTAAAACTTTATATTTCTTAATGACATTATTCCGTGATTAAATTATTGTATTTATTTTATTTTATTTTTCCAAATAATCTTACAAAATCAAACGAGTGAGTACTTCTTTTTCCTTACAAGAAATGAAATTAATCATAGTAATTTTTTTCTTTGACAATGTATGCCATGTCTAATTTTACTATAAAAATATATTGTTCGTAATTTTACTATAAAATGTAGTTTTATACTTTTTTAGTGTTTTGATTTTTGTTTGGAGTTTTTCGATGGATGGCGTAACATCCATTCTCTCTAGAAC